TAGTGATTTGTTGTTTGTTCTTAGGACTTTATGTTTAGCTTAGGTGCTATGATGGTATGAGGGTTAGTATGTCTTGGCTACTTTAGAAGATTGCTCTACTGAAGGAGGATACTAACAGGCAATTGGATCAGGGTGTTGGTAGTAGCTAGGTATTTAGAAGCCCTATAGACAGCCTCGAAACATTCACCTATTTGCATTTAGACAATTACATGTAATGGAAGACGTAATGCTTGGGATGAAAGTTGGGGGGTAGGGGAAGGAAGGTGCTCTTAAAAAGAAAGAAGAAGAGAGAGATAGATAGATTAGAGGAGAATGAAAAGAACAATAAAACTGCTAAAGTGGATTCCGCTGGGAAGGAATTCCGTTGGCGGAACTCCGGTGATGTCACCTCTCTGCTATGGTGGGCCCCAGGCTCCTTGCCGGAGTGTCCAAAGGGAGGGGTGGGACTGGTCCGTCCCCGGTTGGCCTCAGCTCCTGGTTCGCTATTTCACGAAGGCTTGGCTAAAGACCTCTTCCTGCCAAGCTGCGTCTCGGAGGCTAGCCACCCAGTCACTGAGGCTACGGGCGGGCGGCCGCACCACGGCGCGTGGACAGCGGCTGGCGGGTCTGCACCTCTGCGTCTCGTGGCGGGGATTCACTCGTCTGGGGCAAACTGTCACTTCCAAAAATCCTAGTAACTCCCGGCCGGTCTCTCTTCAGCGGAATTTTGCTAGGAGATTCTCCACAGGTAGAATCTACGCGTATCTATGCGTCTCTCTGACCCCATCACTGAGGGGGTACTGAAAGYGCTGCCCCTCTGCCCGCCGCCATGTTGGATCATAATCCAAAAGTTTATTTTAAATGTTCAATTTTTTTTTAAACTTTCATGAAGTACATTTGTTTAACCTGATAGGTAAACTCAAAAACTTGAATTTGAATCCCCAAACTAAACTACAGGAAAAGGCCAAGATAAAAAGCAACAAGCAAGGGGATTGGGATTGTGGCTCAGCAGTAAAATGCTCGCCTAGCAGTGTAAGGGCCTGGGTTTGATCCTTAGCACCACATATAAATAAATAAAATAAAGGTATTGTGTCCAACTATAACTAAAAAATAAATTAAAAAAAAAGCAACAAGCAGGGATGGTGGCACGTGCCTATAATCCCAGCCATGTGGAAGTCTGAGGCAGGAAGGGTACAAGTTCAAAGACATCTGGGCAACTTAGCAAGAATATGTCTCAAAATAAAGAATAAAGAGGACTGGTGATATAACTCAGTGGCAGAGTACCCCTGGGTTCTATCCCCAGTAACCTCCTCAGACCCCCTAAAAAGCAACAACTATAGTAACTCTGAGTAAAATATATAACCACTGATATCCCATAGACCTCTACGTGTTTTCCATTACATGGTTCTAAACTCTTGTGAAAAATCTCCAAAAATAAGGGCAGGCACATAAACAGATTTCCAATACTTCTTTGAATGGAAACACTGGTTGTTCTGCCACTTGGGCTACCTGATCCAGAGGTCTAATAGTAACTGAAGTGTGTTAACAGACAGTGATGTTTTACAAAGCCTTTGGCAGACCCAAATCATAAAAAATCATACAAAACTCTAGGATTTTCACAGAAAAGTTCCACCATCCTCTGTAGATAATAATCCTTCTTGAGAAAGTGCTTTTGGTTTTGTCTAAACACTTGACCACAGGTCATTAAGTTACCATGCCAACTACCCATTATTAATTGGGTGCTATCTGACTCACCAATCCACAAAACTGGGTGTGTACAGTAGCCTCCTTTCATCAAGAGGAAGTATAGTATAGAAGATCAGGAATGTAGGTCCTGAAGGCACATAGAAGTTACAGAGGCAAGTGGTTTGCAATGCCTAGTCCCACTAAATTTCCTTCTTCCTCTCAATCTGCACCGATGGCCACATGGAGAGTACACTATGACCAGTTGATCAAAGAAGAAAAACTACAGATATGATTTACAAATGGTTCTGTAGAACATTCTAGCACCATTTACCTAGGAGAGATGGCCAGATATATGGATCTATGCTGCTTCATGTGCAATAACTAATGGTTTGGCTGGATGGTCAGAAAAAGGAGCTTAGAAGAAAATATATGTGAATGGAACATTCCAAAAAAGCTCAGAGGGTAAAGAAGTTGAAGAAACATCTTTATTCTCATATTTATTATAGCATATTCGAAACAGCCAAGACATGGAAACAACCTAAGTATCCATTAACAGACAAAGAGGTAAGAAGGAAATCCTTCCATCTCTGACAGCATGGATGAGTCTGAATGATATTGTGCTAAGTGAAAATAAGTCAGATGATGAAAGACAAATACTGTATGATATCACTTAAATGTGAAATCTAAAAAAGGGAATTCATAGCAACAAAGTAGAATTGTGGTTGCTATGGATAAGCAGTAGGGAGTGGGTGGGAATGAGGGGATATTTGTCAAAAGATATAAACTTTTAGATATAAGATGAATAAGTGTTGGAGATCTAATGTACAGCAGGATGACTATAGTTAATAATACTTGTACGGCATATTTGAAATTTGGTTAAGATAACAGATCTTTTAAAACATTTGTTTAGTTGTAGATGAACACAATACCTTTATTTTATTTGTTTATCTGTTTTATGTGGTGTTGAGGCTCAAACCCAGTGCCTCACTCATGCTAGGCAAGCACTCTACCCCAACCCCAAGATAACACATCTTAAGTGTCTTCATAACACACTAACAGTAACTTTGTGAGGTAATAAATATGTTAACAAACCTCACTGTAGTCATCATTTCAATCATAAACATACATCAAATCAACACATTGTATATATTAAATATATATAACTCTACTTGTCAATTAAAACTCAATAAAACTGGAAAGATAAAAATGGACTTATTCACAAAGGCTGATCTATCTACAGCCTGTCTACAGAGATCAATGGAATACCTGACGGGGTTCCTGAACCACTTCCCCCATAGAAAAGGCAGAATGTAGGTTTTGCTGGAATAGACACTCACTCTGTATATATATTTGTCTTCCCTACTGCAATTCTTCTTCTGAAACCACCATCTATGAACTTATAGGACCACCATCATTTTATTTACACAGAAACATTGCTTCTAATTCAATGAAATTATTTTGCAGTAAATGAAGTATAGCAATCAGCTTACGCTCATGGAATTTATTCATTTTGCCATTTTCCCCATCATCCTGCAGCCAATGGGTAGCAATAAGTGGAATGGGCTTTTGAAGATTAAATCACAGCAATACTTGAGAGGGCTGGGGCAATGTCCTCCAAGATGCTAAATGTACTCTGACTAAAATATAGCATTGTTTCTCCCATAGCCAGAGTCACAGGTCAAAAATCAAGAGGTGGAAATGGGAGTAGCTCATTACTCTTACCTCAATAATTTACTAGTCAGTTTTCTGCTATCTATCTCTTTAATCTGTAGCTCTCATGATTTAAAGGTCTGAGTTTCCAAGGGAGAAATAGATCTACTAGAAAATATGCAATGATTCCATACTATGTTGCTTTGATCAAACTGGGGACCATGTTTGACAGAGTCTCTCCTCTACATGCTTGTAAACTAAAGCTGGCCAAAGCAGGAACTGCATATGACTTGGCAGGCAGAGGCAAAGTGGCAGTCATTAGTTTCTAAAGATTCTAGTCCAATATGGCGACAGACATACACTCACTGCCCAGGGAATCCAGCTCCATATCCAGCTCTATTTCCCAACTACTGACTAAGAGCTGCCCTGGGCCACTACTTGGATATACACACAGAGCAAAGAGCTTTCCACAGATCTCAAAAGCTTCCCATTTGAAGTCCCACCTCAAGATCTGGATGGTTGGCATCTCAGAGTGCATGAAGAGCCTCTTATCTACCAATTCCCTTCTGAACCTCATTTCTTCACACAATTGTGTAAGGTCTAATTCCTACCATAAATCCTATAACTCATGAGTGACTCAGCTCCCCTGGCTGAACCTTGAGGACTCAGGAAATCCAATGCTCTGTGTCATTCAGTAGTTCTTGCTTTAGACTGTGTGAAAATGAAGGAAAGTCTCAGAAATAGTAGAGAGTGTAGTAAATGTAGACAAGTTGACAGAGTGATAAAGGTGCCCACACACACACACACACACACAAAAAAAAAGAAGAAAGTAGATATCAGTTTTAAGAATTTTTACCTTTGTATTCTTTACCATAATTGGATATTTCATCCCTGAAAAAAAAAAGAAAAAAGAATTAGCAAAAGGAGTCTACCATTACTTGAAATATAATAGTAACCAATTTAAATGACTTTCTTTTGTCATAACTCAGCCCTACTTTTCATTCTGAAACTTTTTACCAGGTAGCAAGATTAAACTAGTCCATGCTTGACAATATGTATCTAACAAGCATGTCTTTTAGCTTGTTTTATTTTAACAAATTTAATCTATGCTTATAAACCATCCTATACCTTGGCTCCAACAGACAGTCCCAGCTTTTCAATGAACTACAGTCCTAGAAATCATGTTGTACAATGCATCATCATAAATCATTACAGAACTAAAACTATGGTATGAGAAACCTTAGTGTCTTGAATGATGATTACCTGATTTCTTGCAAGGTCTGGGTTGTTTAGAAAAGCAAGAGTTATCATGACACAAAAGAATTCCAATAATAACTAACCATTTATAAAATTTAGTTTCCTCTCAGATACACGGGAGCTTAAAGTTTTATAAAGCAAATGTAGAGCAAATAAAATATATAATCTATCTGTATCATGAATATGACTTAAGCTACCTACGTCTGATGGCCTTATTTAACAATTTTGTTCATCATCTTAGACTTTAGAACACTGAGAGAATGATTTAGATGGCCTAGATCTCCTTTAAAATCTGTCAAGGAAAAAAGAACTGTACATTACTTTTTTTCTCCTCCAAACTTCCCTGTAGCAAATAGAGGGCTTCCAAATCTTTCATTTGGTTAAAAGAAAAGAAAAAAATAATAATGTCCTCAAAGCAAAACAAAATCAAAGTGCAGTCTAAAGTGGGGCTGTTCCGAATGGCTGAGTTTTCTTACGATCTTAGTTGCCATTCTAGAGCTTGGGTATGTTCAAAAATCACTAACTGCTACCTATTTTGAGGCCTTATCCCCAAATAGTCTGTTTCAATAAGTCTAGGTGATGCCAAGTCTATATTTTTAACAAGCATTACCAGGAGATTCTGACTCTAACCTGTAAGATGGAGAAGTATTTGGGTTCTAATTATCTATAAGCAGTTGTGGCCGTTCAGATTTTAAGCACTAGTCAGAATGTCTAAACAGTGCCTAGTTCTTTCAGCACAAAACCTTCCAAGAGTTCTGGCTCTCCTATGTCCAATCTCTCCCTTGTTCCTTCTGCACCCCCCTCTCACTCTGCACCCTACTAGCCTATCTCCTGGTGGTCTTCCTACTATACTACCCCAGACAAAAACAATCCCAAGTTTTTGAAAAAGTCAATGAAATTATTCAATAAGAAAAAACAAAGATGGCTTACCATCTATACTTCTTGGAGGGCTTTCTCTAGCCATTTCAATATCTTTTACTTCAAAATTAGTCAAGACAGACCCACCAGCTTCTTGGAAATCCTGGGCAAATGACAAAGCTACCTGCCGATAGTTGACAATGCCAGTATATGGACAATCAATAGCCATTAGACCCTAGGACAGAATTATAAAAAAGTTAAATGATACAAACAAGAATCAATAAGGTTTGTTCAAAATTTTATTTTTAGTTGATTTTTTTCTTGTTTATTTTGATGGAAAACACACATTAACATTGTTTGACAAAAATCTGATAGTCCAAAAAAATAACAGAGAAGTTTGTTCCATTAAGTGCTTACATTTGTTAATGAGCACATATATATTGTTTTTATCAAAGAAGAGAAATAACACTAGCTAAATAAGAAAATCTCTATTATCAGGAAACAATGCTCCTCTTTAAAGGAAAATTTTTGCCAGGCTCTTCTAGCTGCTACAATGATTTTCCCAGTTTTATTCATCGCCTAACATATATGATTCTGAGTTGAATTCCAAAAAATTATGTGTAAACAGACTCTACTGAAATGTCCCCAGTGGTGTATCATACAATGCCCACACTGAAAACAAAGCATCATTCTAGTAGCTACTCACAATATTTGCAAAGCCCTGAATTGACTGTTGCAGTCCTATCCTCTAAAGACTAGGAATGGAGACTCTGTGATTAAATCAAACTTTCTCTTTGGGAAATAGGAAGAATTAACAACCTATTTCTTTGTTTATGTTTTTGGCCCCAGAAGACATGTCCAAACTCTGTAGATAAATGATCTAAATCCATGCTTATTTTATTCTTTGGAGTAAATGTTGAATGTGCCATCAGCCTTTTCTAAATCTGAAGAAAAGGATTAAGAGTAGAATTTCACACACTAAGTACAAACTACTTCTGGTAATAGCACCTTGGTAATGACACCATTTTCTGTTGCCTTACTAAGTCTATGACTATATCAGTTCTCCAAATATCCTATAAGAGGGTAACCGCTTCCCAGGATAACTAATGTCCAAATGCTGAGTGCAACGGTAAATTCTGCTGTCCTCTTGCTTGGCCAATACAATAAGGTTCTTGTTGCTGTTTAAAATATTATCTAAGGGGCTGGGGTTATGGATCAGTGGTACAGTGCTTGCCTAGCATGTTTGAGACACTGGGTTTGATCCTCAGCACCAATTAAATGTAAAATAAAATATGGTGTCCACCTAAAACTAAATATTAAAAAAATAAAGTAATCTGAAATAATATTATTTTAAACATCTCACTCTTGAATTCACCACCCAATTCACCAACCTCATTACAAACTTAGCCCTTAAAAGCTTTTGACTTTGCTACACAGCCTGTGTGACCAGATCATGCTAAGGGTAAAGGCTAACAAAATCAGGCTTTTTTTCACAAACTGAAAGTGACATTTGGCAAACTTCATTGTCATCCTCATAGTCTTATTTCCAGATTACGAGGGCATTTGTTAAATATATCATTCCTTCTGTTTCAATACAAGTTGTTACATGTAAGACTACATTAGCCCTACTCACCACCCCACAATCCCTGAATTACAGGTCAATAGTTATAACTTAATTTTAACCTATATATAGTATTTGGGGTACAATAACTCAGAGAGGTAACTTGGAAACAACTCATCTGTTTTGTTCCCTATTTCTGCTTTCCTTAGTCTTTTTTTTTTTTGGTACTGGGGTCGATTGAACCAAGGGGTGCTTTACCACTGATATTTTATATATATATATATATATTTTTTTTTTTTTTTGAGACAGGGTCTTGCTAAGTTGCTGAGAGTCTTGCTAAATTGCTGAGGCTGACCTTGAACTTGCAATCCTCTTGCCTCAATCTCCCTAATTGCTGGGATTACAGGTATGTGCCACCACACTCAGCTATCCTTATCCCTTTTCTGCTTCTAGAGCCAATCTCTGCTGAGCTCCAATGGAACACTTTTCATTGGAACTACTGTAATTAGGACATTATGGTAGCAGTAAAAGAAGAAATGGGACAGAACAAAGTTGAGATACATCTACACATATACAGAAAATACTGCAGGACAGTGGGAAAATAAAGATAAATTTTGATAAATGGTGCAGAGTTAACTAGATATCTATAGTGGGAAAAAAATTTGCCTTGATCCATATCTCACACCATATTTGAAAGTCAATTCCAAATGATAAAACAATAAAACTTATAGAAAAACACACAAAGTATCTTCCAGACCTTGGAATAGGCAAAAATTTCTCAAACAGAACACAAAAAGCGCTAAACATAAAAGAGAAACATATGTATCAATTGCTAAAATAAGTACATTATGAGCTTCTGCTAAGTAAAAAGACAAGTTACAGGCAGGTAGAAGATATTTGCAATATATATTTAAATATACAAATGACTGCAAATGCATATATATTGGACAAAAAGTCACATTCTTAAAATTAATAAGAATAATTATAAGAAATACGGTAAACCCCTAAGAAAAATAGGCAAAGGACTCAGGTACTTCACAAAAGAAAATACCCAAATGTCCCATAAATACATGAAAATAAAGCTGGGCGCAGTGGAGGCGCATGTTGCTAATCTCAGTGACTCAGGATGCTGAGGCAACAGGATAACAAGTTCAAGGCCAGACTCAGCTACTCAGCAAGGCCCTAAGCTACTTAGTAAGACCATGTCTCAAAAAATAAAAAAGGGCTAGAGATGTAGTTCAATGGTACAGTGGTCAACCATTCCTAATCTGAAAGTCCAAGATCTGAAATGCTCCAAAACCTGAAATGACAATGTGATGCTCAAAAAGTTTTGGATTTTGCCTGGCATGGTGGTGGTACATACCTGTAATCCCAGCTACTTGGGAAACTGAGGCAGGAGAATCATAAGTTTGAGACCAGCCTGGGCAACTCAGTGAGATTCTATCTCAAAATTAAAAAAAAAAAAAAAACAGTGGGGGGTATAATCCCAGCTACTTGGGAAACTGAGGCAGGAGAATCATAAGACCAGCCTGAGCAACTCGGTGAGCTTCTATCTCAGAATTAAAAAAATAAAATAAAAAACAGTGGAGGGGGGTAGGGATGTAATTCACTAGTAGAATGCTTAGATATGGGCTGGGGATGTGGCTCAAGCGGTAGCGCGCTCGCCTGGCATGCGTGCGGCCCGGGTTCGATCCTCAGCACCACATACCAACAAAGATGTTGTGTCCGCCCAGAACTAAAAAATAAATAATAAAAATTCTCTCTCTCTCTCTCTCTCTCTCTCTCTCTCTCTCTCTCCTCTCTCACTCTCTCTTTAAAAAAAAGAAAAAAAATGCTTAGATATATGCTTAGATAGAACGGGGTACACATGTGTCTCTGAGCTTCCTTGCAGCCAATGCAAACAGGAGAACACAATCAGTGAAATGATTCAGTGTCCATAAAACAAGCCAACTTGTGCTCAGAAAGAACAAAAATATTCTCAGAACTAATATCTGTGAGGAATTTCTCCTGCTGGTTCTCAGAGCAAGATGTTGTGTAACAGTCAACAACATATATCCTCAACCACATCCTCAGAGGCCAGAGTGAGTGACACAACTGCCCTTCCCATAGGCTAATGCCATAAAAGCAAAACACAATTCAAAGCAAGTAACTGGAGTCGAAGAGTAGGATAGGGAAAGAAAACACTACAGTGTAGGTATGCTACTCAGATGGTTTGCAGAGATATAAGGAGTAAGTAGTCTATCTATCCTCTCAAAAACAAGCTTTTGATAAGCATGACCTGGCAGTAAGTTCTAGGTCACTGATCTCTAAGACAGAAGCCTGGAGTCCAGCTCTTTCTAAGTGCCAATAACATGGTAGAAAGTAGGGAACAGGAGATATGCACTGGAATAATTGCTGGAATCTGGGGTTGAACTCAAGTCTCTGAAAGATTATCAGTGAAAGATTACATGTAGAGTAACCTATTATTATTCATATTTCAAGAATACAGATATTTTTCACTTTAGCATATTTTAACCAAGATACTCTGTAGCCTACCCTTCATATTCATGCCAGGTAAATCTTCCCAAAACAGAGATCAGACACTATAGCTACCCTCTTCAAAATTTTTCAGTTGTTCTCCATGCCTACTGGAAAATTTTTAGTTATTAGCATGAATGCCAGTCCCTTTATACGGGCCTAATCCTGACTTTCTAGTCTTATCTCTTATCTCTTCTTACACACCCTAATCTCCAACCACAACTCATCATTCGTGTTTTCCAAACATGCCATAAATATTTGGCAGGATGGGGCACAAATAGACTGCTGGGAACATTTTAGCACATATGTTTTGGGGAACACAACTTCCTATTTCTATACTTCCTTTTCCCTTTGTTTATATTGCTTGGACTTGATATTTTCTCACAGAGAAAGAAGAAATCGGGTGTCCCATTTTGTGGTAATGCCCTCTTAAGTCAGTCACTTCAGTAATCTGTGCCAGGATTATCTGATTTTATGATCCTTGCCTTCTGTAAATTAATCCTCAGCCTCCATGTAAAAGGACTGAGTCCTAAATGAAAACATCCCTTTGGACATATGCTTTGGCCATGAGCTGATGAATCACTTACCCTACAATATGGCTCCTTCTTTTTTATATCCTCCTGCTGAATCAGTCTCAAGCCTTGGACACCATTCTGCAGGCCCCTCTCATACAGGGCCCGAAGTCTAGGAATTTCTTCTTGTTCAACAGCTACTATTAGCTTCAAAACAATGATAAAAAGCATGGATAAAGTTAAGTATATCATCAGCTATGAAAGACATAAAGTGTATGAAAATCACAAATTTTTACATGGCTCAAATAGGTTTAATTAAGAACTTTTTGTTCATGTATCTACTTCCCCCTTTCTATAGAACTTTACTTTCTTCCTTTACCAAGAAAAGCTTTCTTTTTTTAATATTTTATTTTTTAGTTATAGTTGGACACAATACCTTTATTTTATTTATTTTTATGTGGTGCTGAGGATCAAACCCAGGGCCTCGCACATGCCAGGTGAGCACTCTACTGATGAGCTGCAACCCATTCCCCAAGAGAAGCTTTCTTAAGAAAATAAAATTAGAACAAATTTGCAGGCTAAGTCTGTAGCTCAGTGGCAGAGTACTTGCCTAGCACATGTGAAGTACTGGGTTAGATCCTTAGCACCGCCAAAAAATAAATAAAATAAAGGCATTCTATCTATCTACAACTACAAATATATAAATAAATGATAAACATAAAACAAGATTTTCCCTAAGTCATGAGATGCAGCTCCAATTTCCACTTCTATTATCATCATCTCTACTTGCATCTTGGTCATAAGTAACTCTTATCATTACCACTCCCTCAGTCCCAAAGGCAAGAGAAGCACAGCTTTGTTTAGCCTTTACATTTTCCAAAAATGGCCTTCTTATTTCTATAAGGAAATGTGAAATACTAGGACATCAAAAGACAGCTGGGAATTCAGTGTATTAGGAAATCACTGGCAGGAAACTATCCCTTTTATTTCCTGGAATAAAATTACAAAGTATTTTCTTTGAATTCTGTTCCAGAGGAAAATAATTAGTATATTCCATATATTCATCAACTTTATTCAAAAATCTTTAATTTCTGGGCAAAGTATCTGAAGGTGAATTTCTTCTTATTTAATAGTTACCAGCAAACACAGCACAGATGTACATTCACAGGTGCATTAGAATTCACAAGTCACTGTTTCATACCACAGAGTCAACAGAATTTCATGAGGTAGTACTTAAAAAAAATTTTTTTTAGTTGTAGATGGACACAATATCTTTATTTTATTTATTTACTTTTATGTGGTGCTAAGGATTAAACACAGTGCCTTACATATGCTACAACCCCAGTCCCAAGGTATTACTTTAATTGAGATGTAAAGGACCTTTAAATCAACGAATCATTAACCTTAAAAACAGAAGAGGAATAAAAGAACACTAATAGAAAGTGAAAATACAATTCACAGAATGGGAGAAAATATCTGTAACCCATAAAACTCATAAAATTCATAAAGGTCTGGTTGGTACCCAGAATCCATAAAGAACTTTTACAACTTAACAACAAAAGCTGTACAATTTTCTATCTTGCCCTTTTCACTTAACATTTCATCAGAGCCACTTCCCACATTAATAAAAAACAATTTTCAAAGCATCTTTAATGACAACAATGAACTTTTATTCTTAAAAACCATATAAAAAAGGACATCACTACCAACTTTAAATAAAGACTAATAAAGACAAATGCTATGACAACTGTACACCCACAACTAAGGTAATCTCGATGAAATGAATAAACTCTTGGAAAGACACAAACTTATAAAACTGATTGGAAAAAATAAAATGAAAATCTATTCAGACCTGTAACAAGTAAGGAGATTGAAAACTTCTCACAAAGAAAAGCCTAGGCATCAAAAGTTTTGCTCATGAATGCCATCAAATGTTTAAAAAAGAATTAATACCAATTCTTCATAAACTCTTCCAAAAAACAGAAGAGGAAGAAATGCTTAACTAATTTTATGAAGCCAATATTATCTTGATACCTAACCCAGACAAACACAAGAAATTGCCAACCAATGTTGAGAGCAATGGCCCAGTCAGAATGATGCCTGGCATTTACCAGAGGGAATGATTGTAAGGTGAGCCAGCGAACCATTGAGATGATGATTTGAGTTAAGCTATTAATTGCTGTAATGCTGGATTGATTGTATTGTATATTTGACCTTTACTGTCGCTCAATAGGGCGGCTCTTGCTGCCTCAGCCCGCTACTTTGGAGTTCCCCTGAGTTCTGGGAGGGGGGGGGTTTCGGGGAGATTGGAGGGAGCCCGGTGGAGGGAGTGTGTTCCCAGGTGGCATGTGCAGTGCCAGTGAGAGGTGGGGAATAAAGAGTTGCTGTTTGAATCTACAAGGCTTTGTGGCAGCTCGGTTATTTGTGCCCAGCCAGACTTCGACAGACCAATATTTCTTGTAAATACACACACAAAAAAAAATTTGAGTGGGGAGGGGGTGCTGGGGATCAAACCCAGGGCCCTGCACCTCTTAAGCATGCACTCTATCACCAAGCTGCACCCTCAGCCCTACCACATAAAGACTGGTGCAAAAATCCTAAACAAAATATAAAAACTAAATGCAGTAATATATAAATATCATCTCATGATCTAGTACGATTTATCACACAGCAAGGCAAGATCAATTTCACATCCAAAAACCAATGAATGTAATTTACTATAGTAATAAAGTTCAAAACCACATAACCACTTCAATAGAATCAGAAAAGGCATTTGAGAATTTCCAGCATCCTTTCATGATTAAAAAACAAAAATAAAAACCATTCCACAAGCAAGGAATAGAAAGGAACTTCTTCAGCCTGATAAAGGGACTCTCCCAAAACCACAAAAACAAAAACAAAACAAAAAACCCACAGTTAGCGGCATACTTAAATGGAAAAGACCAAAAAAGCAACACAAAAACAACCACTTTTACTACTTCTACCCAACACTGTATTGGTAGTTCTAGCCAAGGAAATTAAGCAAGCAAAATCAATAAATAAAAGGCCTCTGTAATGGTAAATTTGAATTGTCAACTTGGTTGGATTAAGAGATGACTAAGAATAAGAGACTTCTGGGTGTGTCAATGAAAGTGTGTCTAGGAATAGTGGTCCTGTGGGATGGTGAACAGAAGTGGAAACCCTAAGTGTGGACAAAGGTTGGAGGCTTGGGTGGAAAAAATTTGGAAGAACAAGGAAGCAACAGCAGATACAAGCTCAATTCTTCTTGATGGATTCTTGATTGCTGCTGCAATTGCCTGAAGACATCAGACTCAAGCTCCTTCAACTCTTCCATAGTGGACTTGGCCAGAGATTCTCCAGGGAGTTTCCAGAAGCCTTCAGTGCCAGACTAAGGTAGCATTGTTTATCCCTCCTGTTCTGAGGCTTCAGCATCTTGGACTGTTCAGCTATTGGTTTCTTATCTCTCCAGCCTACAGATAAGGGGCTACCCAGCTTCTGGTTCTGTAAGCCAAATTAATAAATTCCCTTTTTATAATCATATCTATAACATATATATGTGTGTATATATGTATACACAGATAGATAGATGTCTCCTGTTGGTTCTGTTCCTCTAAAGAACCCTAATACAGCACCCAAACTGAAAAAGAAATAAAACTTATTTGTAGATGACATGATCTTTCAGATAAAAAAGCCTATGAAATACATACACCTATATTCACACAGTCATACACAATTAGAACTAATGAATTAGTTTGGAAAGACTTCAGGATTTTAAAAAAGTCAATATACAAAAATTAATCATAGTCTATATGTTTAGCAATGAATAATCAAAAATAAAACTAATACAATTCCCTCACAAAAGCGTCAATAAGAATAAAACAATAAGAAACAAATTTAATCAAAAGAGGTCCTTGCTTAAGTGACAGCCACCATTTTCCCACTCAAGGACCTTTCCCAGAGAGGATCACCACTCCCTCATACCAACCCAACCCTTCACCAGACATTCTTTCCTGCCCAAGGACATATTACCACTCCCTCATATCAACCCCACCCTTAAATCTGCCCTCATTAGGACCTACCCAGCTCAGATCCCTGAGCCTGGCCATAAAAGTCCCAAAATCCAAGCCTGTCCTGCCTCTCTCTATCTATGGAGATATGGCCTTTATTTATCAGCTCTGATAAATAAACTCTCTTATGTATCTCTGCCTGGTCTCCCTCTTTCATTTAATTTCTGGCTCGCCCGGCTTCTGCTTTCTCACTTTCAGGGCAAGACTGGGGCTGGGGTTTTAGCTCAGTGATAGAGCACTTGCCTAGCAGCATGAGGCCTTAGGTTTGATCCTCAGCACCACATAAAGAATTGATTGTTATGGTATCATAGGGCTTATGTTCAAGTTGTTGGGAAAACATATAACAGCAGCAGCACCCCAGAGAAAAACCCCAACATGCCATCTAACGACCCTCTTTCTCCTCTTTGTTTCTTTCACTGGCGCGAAACGTTCCCGCCGGCACCAATGTTCAAATCCCGCTGGTGGGAAGCCTTAGCCCCAATAAGAATTAACTTCTTGGGCTCCGGAACTGACATATGGAAGAGCTTGCCAATAAACGGGCGACCTGTTATCTACCTCAGCCCTGCGACCTCTCCTTAGACCTATATAAACACACAGCCTTTGGTAATAAAGTGGAACCTCTTTGGTGATCTGTGTCGTGTGGTGTAGTGCGCTGCAGAGTCTTCTAGTCTTACAGTGGTGCCGAAAACCCAGGAGACGGTGTGCTCGACAAACCGAGCCCCGTCTCCGCCACCGGCCGTCACCAACGACACATTTCGCCCTTGTCTGTCTTTTTGGGCATGGGCTCTCTGCACTCACCACTGATCAGGTCTAGGTAAGCTCCCCCTCCCCGGCTCGCCAACTCCCTTTAGGTTAGCAGCTGGAGACAGTCCGGTATGCTCCAGACACCCAGTAGGGAGGAGGGAATGCACTCCACTAAGACCTTCACTGGTCGCAGTGGACCCTCTGGCGACCCGCTTCCCTTTGGGGCGTGAGGCTTCTGGGTTTGCACGAGAGAGGCTCCCCCGCCGTAGCTGTGTTCAGCCCGGAGCTGAACTTCCGGTCCGGAGCTGCGTTCTGCTGGGGCTCTGTTCTTTCCTTCCTTGATTCTCTCTCGTTCCAGTGGAAAAATTTTCCTGACGTCAGGTGGCCTGCGGCCTG